CTGGGGACATCTGGGGACATTGGGGGATGGCTGGGGACATCTGGGGGCGTTTGGGGACATCTGGGGGACACCCACAGGGTGGTGAGCCCTCCTTGTGCCACTGCACCATCATCGACTTCAACGGGTGTGCCGGGGACATCAGGGACATCAGGGACATCAGGGACATCTGGGGACATTTGGGGACATTGGGGGATGGCTGGGGACATTTGGGGATGTCTGGGGACATTTGAGGACATCTCGGAACATCTGGGGGCGTTTTGGGGTCTGGGGGACACCCTCAGCGTGGTGAGCCCTCCTTGTGCCCCTACGCCATCACTGACTTCAGTGGGTGCGCCGGGGCCTGCTGGGGACATTGGGGACATCTGGGGACATTGGGGATGGCTGGGGACATCTGGGGGCGTTTTGGGGTCTGGGGGACACCCAGAGGGTGGTGAGCCCTCCTTGTGCCACCACGCCATCATCGACTTCAACGGGTGCGCTGGGGACATCTGGGGACCGTTGGGGACATTTGGGGATGCTTGGGGATGTTTTGGGGACATTCGGGGATGTTTTGGGGATGTTTTGGGGATGTTTGGGGACATTTGGGGATGTTTTGAGGACATTTGGGGATGTTTGGGGACATTTGGGGATGTTTTGGGGATGTTTGGGGGACATTTGGGGATGCTTTGGGGTCAGGGGGAGGGTGGCAGCTCATCCTGCCCCACGGGGCCATCATCAACTTCAACGGGTGCGCAGGGGACATCTGGGGATAATTCAGGGACGTTTGGGGACATTTGGGAATGTTTGGGGACATTTCGGGGCAATTGGGGGTGAGGGGCACGGTCAGGGGGTGGTGGCACCTCATCCCGTCCCACTGCTCCATCATCGACTACAATGGGTGACTCTGGGGACCTTTGGGGACATTTGGGGGCACTTTGGGGTCTGGGACATGGTGGCGATGCCTCATTACCCATCACTGGCTTCAATGGGTGAGTACAGGGACATTTGGGGACATTTGGGGACAATCTGGGGACATTTGAGGACATTTCGAGGTCTGGGGTCACCCATGAGGTGCTGAGCCCTTGTCACTTCCTTAGCTGATCTGGGGACACTTGGGGACACTGCACTGCCAGCCAGGACTGTGCCCCTGCTGTCCCCAGGGTGTGACCCTGCTGTCCCCAGGGTGTGACCCCACTGTCCCCAGGACTGTGTCCCACCATCTCCGTGGCTGCGTCCCTGCTGTCCCCGTGGCTGTGACCTTGTTGTCCCTGGGGCTGTGACCCTGCTGTCCCCATGGCTGTGTCCCCGCTGTCCCCATGGCCGTGACCCCTCTGTCCCTGTGGCTGTGACCCTGCTGTCCCCAGGGTGTAACCCTGCTGTCCCTGTGGCTGTGACTGTGTCCCCGGGATGTGTC